CTGTGACCAAACATGTATGACTTAAAAAAAAAGTGTACTGAACGAAACCTGATAAAAAATACTATAGTGGTTTTTAATTGCCTAACTATAAAGGACATGTGAGAACTCACATTTAAATATAATACCATGTATTACAAAATAATTCCACACGAACTAGTCTAACTATACAATTCTCTAGATCAAAGCCATTTTCTGTAATCAGTTGGTCCACAACTGAATCGTTTGTTTATATCTAGGAAATGCGTTACTATTGCAGTGAAACTCCAGACATCGACCATGTCAAACAGCTGGTTCCTCCAATTGATTGCAAAGATAGTTCTCAATACAGAACTAATGTTACTACCTATCAGAACAACAACATCTACACTACTATCTTAATAAGATCCTGAGTAATATAATGTCATGCCTGAAAAAGGACGAGATGCTTAAAAACATTCTTTAAATAATTAAAATTATGCAAATGAGTTTTTGACCCCTTCTGACATCAGAAACTTTCCAATATTCTGATTTTCATTCGTAAAGCGATATGTCTTGTGAGGACGGTTAAAGACACTTACATTAAGAAACATCTAATGTTATAGTACTAAGCTTTAAATTAAAGCTCTTGTCCGTGTACTTTAGTTTTATATATATCTTGTATAATATTATTAAACGCAATATAAACTATATTTGTTTTCGTATTTCTCATGTTAAGACCGCTTTCAGTAAAATTTAATCTTTATTCATCTTTATGGACCATATTTAATGTTAATTTATTCATCGAACAAATTATTTACAAAAAATTACATTATAATAACAATTAATTTTGTTTTTCATGTTGGTCATTTGATTCTTAGTGGATTAGCATTCAAAGTTTCATAGTTGAAACATATGGTACTAAATCTGCTTTTGATGACACATTGCTTCACTGTTAATAACTTAGCCATATGCTTAAAACGCATATCTACAGCGAATATAAGCGTCAACCTTAACCACGCTCATTATATTTAGCTGACTCTGCGATTTATAGAACATAAGCACATTAATTAAAAACTGTTTTAGATAAAGCATTATTTATTCCTCACAAATATATCGAAGCTCATTGTGTCCTTCTACACCAATATTTATTGAAAATATAATACAAGTGCTAAATACCCACTCTCAAAAATCTTATTACCAAGACAAAATAATAAAGCTATAAAAAATCTGTTCCAAATGAAGAATTATGAAAATTCTCAGTCAAGAGATTATCAACACATTAGATTATCGGTATTGAAGAAAAAGTATGGTTGGATTGGTCGTATTTTACTTAAGTTTGTGATAATCTTTTTCACACAGCGTTGACTACGAGCCCATAAGCTACTAGTCATCATGGAAGATTCCGAAAAACGTGGAAGGTATCCTTACTGAAATGGATAAACCATTTAAACGAACTACGATTAACAGCATATAATAAAAGATTAAATTAAAAATCTTTTCTGGAAACCTTAATATACAGCTCTTAAAAAGGAAGCTGTAGTAAATAAAAATATATTTTCAAAAACATATTAATAAATATTTATAAAAATATATTAATAAATATTTATGAAAATTTATTAATAAATATTTATAAAAATATATTTAAAAATATATACATATTAACAAAAATATACTAATAAAAGTATATTAATAAAAATATATTATCAAAATATACTAAGAAAAATATATAAATAAAAATAAATCAATAAAAATACATTAATACAAATATATTTAAAAAAATAAATTAAAAAAAAATATACTATAAACATATAAAATATAACATATAAAATATTTATTTTTAAAAATATGTTATAAAAAATATATTATAAAAAATATATTATAAAAAATACATTATAAAAAATACATTATAAAAAATACATTATAAAAAATATGTTATTAAAAAATATATTATAAAATATATATCATAAAACATATATTATAAAACATATAATATAAAAAATATATTAAAAAAAATATGTTATAAAGAATATATAATAAAAAACATATTAACAAAATATATATTTATATATATTTGTTGGTATAATTTCTTTTGGAAATAGTGAACGGAACGTGGTCGTCAAAAGTAACAAATGGTTCCGGGACGTTGAGCCGGCAACTCCTGACAATTAAGTAAGCTAGAAAAGTGGTTACCTTAACCTACATATTGTTTGGATAACCTGTTGGATCTCTAGACACACTAGATGAGAGTACTTAAATGTGTTAAGCGAAGGCCCAATATCTCGTTAGTCATTAGTGTATTTTAAAAAATAGTTCAATGAGTTATTAAAAGCGATTAAGATTAAAATTGATCTATTTAAACAAATTATAGATATGGAAAATGAAGTTAAGCCACTCTAAATATGATACCAAAGCAAAGACAATACACTTTTAAATAGTTAATTTAAGAGTTGTAACAAATGAAGAATGCAGACCATTTTTGCACTATTTGTGATTTTATGCCAGACCATTTATGACTACATCATATCTCAGTCAGATATCATGGCTACATCTTGTTACAGGCTTAGTTGGTGAAAACCACTTTTTTTAATAGAAATATTTCTAAAAGCTTAGGATTTTCTTAGAAAATATTTTACCTCAAGTATTGATTTTAAGGAACCAAGATAATTACTATAGAAAGTTTAAAAATTAGTGTTTGTGAATCTGCACTATAACTTATAAAACAAAATAGCTTAGCAAAATGCTTAAAGCGGTTCAGTCAATAGATTGTTTTATAATTTGTGAAATATAAGTTTTAATGATTAACAAAGTTTTTAAAAATGTGTTAGTTTTATTATAATAACTAGCACAGGAACTATTAATTTATATAAAAGCAATATTTAAATCTGAACCACAATTGGTACTGGGCCTAAATGATCGCAAAATTTTTTTTGTTAGATATTGCCATAATAAAAGTAATATCCAAAACTATATCGACCTAAATAAAATATTATTTAATTTGTTAAATTTATTAAAAAGATAACGCAACAATAATAGATAGGGGGAAAAAATATAATTAAAGATTAACTTTAGAGAGCCTCCAAAGACTAAAAATACATAGACATATAACTATGAATAGGAAAGAGGATAGTGGCAACATCAGCAACAACTACCTGATTGTGATTGTATATTGCTTCTACATATATTGTATTGTATATTGTATAGCATTTAATTTATTATTTATTATTTAAAACTGAATTTGACTAATTTACAATTTTTTTATTTTATTCACATTAGGCTTTTCCAAAAATCAGAAATATTTAAAAAAGTGAACTCTTAACTACTCTAAATGATTAAATTTAATTTTAAAGAAAAAAAACTGTTTTCCTAATATAATTTATTTTTTTTTTTAATAAAGAGTTTTATAATAGAAATGAATTATTTGTACGTGTGACATTTCTAATTTTAACGAAATATATTTATAGATAATAAAGTCGGTTATATGAGTGATCATAATGATCTACTTGTTTCGTGTTGAAATAAAAGAAAAACGTAAACAATCTTATTATATAGCAGTTAATGGATATAGCTAACCGATTTCAGTTATTTCAAGAAATAATGGCTAATTAAACACATACCTAAACTTTGAGTTCATGTTGAAAGGTATGAGCGGCACTTAGTTATGTGAAATGACAACTACCCACAGGAACTAGATTCAACTGTTTCAGAAATATCTGCCGTATTAAAGAGATACGATTATTTGACTTCAGCCCGTACCAGTTTTAGTACTCCATCTACTTTAAGGTAATTATCAGTTATTTTCAACTATCTCTACATTTAAAAAATAACAAAAATATATATCCTTCATATACTTCCGATGAGATTAGTGAAAAATAGCTTCAGGCTTCAGCTTTTAAGACACTCATATTAGTTACAATAGCAACAGATAAAAACTATATCGTCAGTTTCTAGAAATCCATTATGACATATTATATTATTTCAGCATTGCTAAGTATATTTCATTTAAGCTTATTGTTTGTCACACAAGAATCTATAAAGGAGTTGGTTCGAAGAACGGAGGGTTCTACGTCTCGGAGCCACTAGTCGCCAACAACGACCAAGTACCGTTCGCCAGCCTCCAAAGGAGTTTTACAAGGCGGTTTACAACAACAACATAGAGCGTATAACATAAAAGGAATCACGAATACAGATATATGAGTTAGGATGTGGATAGGTAATGGTATTGTGAGAGTGCAGGAGATTATTTAGTAGTAAGAATGGGTTTAAAGATAGTTGGGGGAATCGACTATGGTGATGTTTGATGAATTAAGCAATTTTGTAGTTTTTTTCAAACATTATCTTGTTTTGTGTTGTTAAAATTAAAATATTTTAATTGATTTTTAAATACAAAAAAAAATATTGTAGTAATAATAATATTAGACTTAATTTAGAGAATGTAAACCCGTTAAATCCAAGTTGAATATATTTTTTCGTTTATTGCTTTGTCGAAACGACAATAAAGGTTTGTCAATACAACTGAAAAATTGAAATTAGTAACAAGGATTGTTGGCTGGATCGATGTACATCATTGAACTAATGGAGACTCTATATACTTCACTGCATTACAAAATAATGTTAGAAAACATAATGTGTTAACGCTTATTGAACATAAGCGTAGTCTATAAAAACAAATTTACAGAGAAAAAGGAATAAAAATTGAATACAAAACTTCTATTATGTATTAGAAAATAGGTCTATACATAATATAAACCTAACCCACGCTCACAATGGTTTCCGGTAGCCAAACCAACGTTCTGTTCATCAATCGCAGACAGTTTACGTTGCTGCATTTATATAAACCATATATTATTAATAATAAACAATTAATTAATACACTAAATATATATATAAGATATAACTCTAAAGTTAAAATACTAAAAAATAATTTACAAAAGTAATAACAGAATAAACCAAAATTTTAATCGGTATAAAAAATTTGAAAACAAAGCACAACATAAGCACTAAAAAAAAGTACAGTCAATAAAAATAGAGCACAGCGCGCTTACCATAGCAGGCCACGGTGGGAAGCCTTTCATTTTAGCCCTGTAAAAAAGATTGAAAATATTAATATAATAAACTTTTTTATTTTAAATTATATTTATCAATTTAGAAATAATAGTTTTTGTTAATAAAATCATACAAGTTCAACATAAAACTTTAGCATTTTTTATTTAAAAAAAATACCAAAACTTTCCATGAGAACGAAAAACGCGCGGGAAAAATTGCTTTACTGGCAGTAGCAGAAGTAGAAACAAATATAAACGAAGCTGCAGCAGCGACGCACAGAAACAGCGACGCTGTTTCGATTGACACACACACATCCAGCAAGCCAATAAAACAACAATAATAACTAAAGCAAATGCAGGCAAAAGAAACGCAGCACGAAACTACAAAAAACACAACAACAACATAAGCACATACATTTAACGAAGCACGGAGCGCTAACGCTGCACATAGCAGAAAATTATATTTAATATATAATACACTTTATATATTATATTATATATTAATTTAACATCATAAATATAATCTGTTTATTAATATTTTCTGACTTCAAATTACACTTTTCCAATGGAATTTTTTCACACATCACAATGAGGTTATGTGCGCCATTTTTATTATTCCGCCTTATAACTTATTCCATATATTGTAATTATATATACAACTTTAATATACACAAAATTTGATTTTAATTATATATTTATTTTGTTAAAGTGCTTACCAAATTAGATCCTTTGGTTTGTAAATTATTAAATCCATTGCATCGATACTCGGCAATGTCATTTTTTTTGCCTTTGACATCTTTAAGAATTTGTCAAACTTCAATTGAAATTTAATTTTGTAGCTAAAGATTTACAAAACTTTAAATTAATTGATTTATTATGGGCTACTCTGATGTTTACAACCTTTAATTAATATTTATGTTGCCTCAACAATTAATATTTTTCGCTGTGTTTGCTTTAACAAATTTACAGCGCGCAGTTACGATTTTTTTTATTTTGCTCGTATTTCTTCGTTATGCTTCTGTTCCTTTCATTAAATTTAAACACTGACAAACAAACTACCAAAAATTATACAACTCATACAACCCACTAAATTCCGTGGCCAAAAATGTACTGACAAGTATGAATTCAATACCAAATACTGAAATTTCTAGCGAAATGTGCATGTAGATAAGTAAGAACGCGTCACATTGAGCAGAGTTGTATTTTCAAGAAATTATTAAATTCTTAAATTTATTGATACGCAATATGTAATACATACGAGCATATATTTTGTATTTTCATATATCAACTAATATATATAATTTACATATATATACAAATAATTTATTTATAACTTAATATGTATTTATATTTATATATTTAATATATTAAATAAATTTATATATATGAAACAAATTTTATAAATAATTTGTTAAATTATTGAACTTATTGATGTGCAAACCATACGAGCTCATGTTTTACATTATTATCTATGCTTATAGGTTTATTTAATATTTTAAAAATAATAAAATAAATGTTTTACAAGTATACAGCATACAATTTTTCATATATATCAAAAGTACCAATATTGCATTCAGAATAATATCGTGAACATTTCATGTAATATACACACATATATAGTATACATATGTAAATATATTATGCATTTATTTATATATACAAAATTTATTAAAAATCATTTATTTAGACAATAACCAGTAGAGATATATAATAATATAATCACCATATGTAATACATATGTTTTAATTACAAAAATAATTATGTATGTATAAGTAATTTTATTTTAAATGGATTTTGTGTGTAATAACTATTTTTGGTCAAGTACCTAATTTATGAGAGATTTATAGCATTGACAGACGAGCGCACTAAATTATCATTAAGCATCCTTAAATGATCATTTTAAAAATACCCTGACAGACGGTATAAATTATTATATTTTTTGTTATTGAAGGAGCAAGAGAATTTTAAATTCAAAATGGATAAGCAAGAAAAATTAAAGAAACTTGCTTTCATTAAATATAAAATATAATAAAAATATATAAAATATATAAAAAAAATATAAAATCCAATGTTTTCAAATATATTTTGTTTACATTTTGACAACCAAATAACAGCTTGAAATTTGTTCAATTTTTTATTTCGTTTCACTTGCATATGCAGCATTACCATTTCTAAAAACCTAAATGACGAATAAATTGGGTTAAATTCTGTCATTTAAAGACCATAAATGATCATTTAAAACTGCTAAATGAGCAAATAAATTATAATTTAGGCTCTTAATGATAATTTTGCTCATTTAGCAGTTTTAAATGATCATTTATGGTCTTTAAATGACCGAATTCATTGTAATGCTTCATATGCAAGTGAAACGAAATAAAAAATGGAACAAATTTCAAGCTATTTGGTTGTCAAAATGTAAACAAAACATATTTGGAAACATTGGTAAATGTAAGTACTTGTAATATTTATATATATTTTATATTTTTTTTATATATTTTATATTTTTTTTATATATTTTATATTTCTTTTGATTTTAGATGACTTAAATTAATAAACTTAAGCGCCACGCATGGACGGAAGAGCATGAGATTTTCCTTACAGAAACTTCTTAATGATAATTTATACCGTCTGTCAGGGTATTTTTAAAATGATCATTTAAGTTTGCTTAATGATAATTTAGTGCGCTCGTCTGTCAATGCTATAAGTTGCGTTCTAAATGAGGGAAATTCTAAGTTGTGCCGATAATGTTATGATGTGTCGATACGTGTTGATAAATGGCTGAATGTGTGCAGTGCAAAAAATCCCAAAAAATTTCCCATTTGGTTTAGCATCAACTTAGCTTAACTCGCACATGTCTTTAATTTATGAAAACAAAAAGCTTTATTAAATACTATTTTATAATTTTTGATTTTTTGACTTTTTGATTTTTCGGTGCTTTCTATTTAAAATAAATTAACTTCAATTAATAATATATTACACAATAAAATAAATATATAATTGAAACATTAAAATATATATACATACATATATTATATATCCTATTAATTGAATAAAAAAAATATTTTCTTAATTATTTTCTTCAGAAAATAAATATTTTCTTATTTTATCGGTATGTTTTTTAACAGCTCAGCTGTGGTTTGTTTACATTTTTAATATGAAACATATCACAAATATTTCAAATTTCCCAGAAGGGAAATTTATTTTTAATGGTTTCATTTGACATTTTTGGTCCCATTTTCTTTAATATATTTATAATGAGCTCATTTATAAGACAGCTCTTTATATAGTAAATTATGCTCATTAGCGGACATAAAAACAAAACTGACCAAATGAGACCAGCGGATTTATGGTATAAGTATAAACGTTCTAAAAATTAATACTATAATACTGTTAATACTATATACTATATATGTTTATTAAATATTTATTTTAACTGGATTGTTGCTGTCGTTAATATATTTTATGTTTTCAAATTACTTTACGGAAATCGCTTTAAGAAAGAGATTTCCATTAAATTTTATAATTGCTGGTGCGCTTTATTTTTAAATATTTCATTCTTTTTATGTAATTATATGTTTCCTTGTTTATATGTATTTTATAAATTTGTGATTACACTTTAATAAGTTAGTTAACATATAGCGAACATCAATTTAATTTTGATTCCAAAATAGCGATTAACTGCAATTTAAATTCATATACCATATTTACATAACACATTCACACTGTCTTATTTAGGCACTTGCTCATTTATATTAATGAATGAACGATCACATTATTGTTAGCTCATTTATACAGCTGATACAACTTTAAAAAACTTTTATAGACTTTACTTAATGATATATCAACCAAAAGAATTAAAGAATTAAATTAAAGAATTAATATATTAAATAATTTTTACGCATTTTTTATTTAATTAATAAAAACAACGGTTTTATTACACATTTACTTTAAAAATTTACCTTTACTCAGCTGTTCTTTGTTTTCATTTTACATATAAAACTTATGACACATATTTCAAATTTTGATAATTTCCCCTGTGGGAAATTTATTTTGAAGAGTTGCATACGACATTTTTCGCCTTATATTAGATGATATATTGATAATTTCATTTATATAAAAACACTTTGTATAGAAAATTATCCTCATTAGTGACTATAATGAGCAAAACCACCTTAATGTGACGTGTGAGTGTGCTATTACGTGCGAAAATGATATAGCTTAGTCCTTAAGATATATGAATTTGAAACTGTAAATTTTTACACAGATTATATTAAAAATAACTGGACGCGCTACATGAAACAAGTGGAATATTTTAAATAAAAATCCTTTTATTTATATATATAATATGCATAAAAATATTATGAACGCCATACAAAAATAAAACAACGTGTACGTTCAAACAAATTATAATTTCAACGATTGTAAGAAAATATGGTTTTTGCAATAACGGAGTCACAGTTTTAAGATGTACAACATTATTCACATATGTAAATTTTTACTATAACACATTTAATAATAAACTTCATATTATTAGTAAAATTTCTAACTATGTAAAGATTACAATTATTTTTTGCTAAATTAAATTGCTTACTCTCAATTTGCTCTTAACTCTATTTAAGTTTTCTATTAGTAATGTTACTGCAATCCGAAGTGTATATCCTTACAACTAATTTTTGATTTGAGTAATCAAGTAAAATATTACAAAGCATATTAAAAAATTTAAAATCTATATGCAGTTATACTCTATCTACTCTAAACTCTATTTAAACTCAACTGCGTTAACGTGCTTGAAAATATCTTGAGCGAAAATATCGCATCCTTTGGTACCTTTTTTACGACGGAATTTTGAAATTATAAAACATTTAATTAAAATTTGAAAATACTGTATATATTAACTATATAATATTCGTAAAAATAAATACATGCATATTTGCACATAATTGTATTATTATTAAATATAATTAAATACATTTTCTATGTGCACAACTTATTCTTATAAAATTAGAGTTGTATTTAAGTACACATTGTTTAGTAAAAACGTTTTTAAGAAGAGTATTTTTATACTTTATACATCATTTTAATTTTCTATAATGAACAATTACTTTTCTATTAATGCTTCTAAGGTTATTGATGTGAAAACAAATAATATCTATTATATCAAATTAAATATTGATCGTTTGATAAGATAGTTTTAAGGACTATTATTTTTTCTTGATATTATTTATACATCAAAATTATATAAGACCCTTTGCATTCACTTGAATTAAACAAAGTTTAATAGGATCCTAAAATAACAATAACAACAATTATACAGATAATTTTTGTTTAATTCATTAATTGTGTTAATATAATAATTCAGCATACATAAAATACACATTTTTTTATATGTACCACAATCATGAGTACCGTCCAACTGGACATACAGACGGCTTTTAAATATGCAAATAAATAATGTTTACATTCTATATTTAATAGTAAACAAATTATCACTTGATTGAATAAATAAATATTGTGCCAGTAAAATTTTTATTAATATAACAAATATTAGTTAATAATATTTAGCAGCAACCCAGATTTTTAGTATGCGCCCTAATAGTCCAATAATTTGCAACTCTGAATTGTGCGTACGCTAAACCAGTTTATTACAAATGCTGGCATAAAAATATTTAAATGTTTTTAATATTTATTTATTTTTTAATAAAACATAATAAAATATGATTTGTTATGTTTGCAAATGAATTATAATATAATGTGTTTTTCATTTATTATAATTGGTTGGTTTGAAATTAAAAATATTCATTATATAATAGTTGGACCCTTTTTTGGGCAAAACGCTATTCTAGATAACACCATTGATTAAAGGTCCATTGATGCTGCTGTGTGATAAAACTTTGGAGTGTTATAAAAAACCTCACATATTACCCATATTAGGACAAATAATGAGCAATCAATTTCTATTTTATTATATGCATTAAATTTTAAAAAATTTATTTTTGTATTTGTTTATATTTAAAAATGTATATATAAGTTTTATGAAAATACAATTTTTATAATTTATTAAGTACTAAAACAAAATATAAGTGCTCGTTTAAGGTTACAATAACCTGCTGTAATTATTCAATTTAATTTTATGTGGAGATTTAATAGGACGAATACTTTCAATTGAACATAATAGCCAATTCACACAGTACTGTAATTGTAATTTAATTCCGATTTACTTCATTACAAATTCAAGTTTATATTAATTAAAATTTCACACAATAATCCAACAACAAATATTGTAATGTGTATAAAGTTAAGTTGAAATTAAATTAAGAACCAATAGCAATTAAATTATTTCTGCACAAAAGATCTTTCACACCGCAGTGCATGCATAGCTTATCCATAATAATAATAATACAATTATTTAACGAATAATAAGTCATATGAACTTAATATATTAGCGCAAATAAAAAAACAAAATTGAAAAACAAAATTATGATAATATTATGATTTACTGTGTGAACATATTTATAGCGAAGCGAGTCACATGTGCAAAAGTATATTCCAATTTACTTGTGCTGTGTCAATAGGCCAAAGTGGAGATATGTGGAGATAATAGGATAATATATCAGGTTTAACTATTGACTACGGTAAAATATTATCAATTTCATGAAGGAAGTATAGTGATGATACACTACAAAAGACATTGTTAAACAGATTAGTTATTTGTTGTGATCTTTCTTAATGAACTGGATATAATTGTTTATATGTTTAACAAACAAAACATTTGAATACAGCTCTGTTTCTTCAAATGTTTGTTATTCATGGCATGATGAATAAATTAATAATATTTTTTTTATTAAAACATTTAATTTCTAATACAATAAAAAAGATTTATTATTATTTATTTAGTTATTATTTTTTCAATGCAAGATTTTATATATGTATTCAAAAAAGAACTCATATCATTTTTATCAATTGGATAAATGCAAAGCAAATAGTTGCATTTTCCTTAAGAAATTTACACTTAAATATGCCAAATAATAGCATTCAAATGAAACAAATGCTTCCACGCCAGATTTCTATTTGACAATCAATTCAGTTATCAGTTTTGATAGTATGAAAATATAGCACACATTATATCGGAAAGCAATTAATGAACAAATCCGAACAGTAGTGTTGACATAGATGTAATTTCAAAAATTAAATTTACTATATGTATTATATTAAATTTAATGAATTTTTAATAATATAATTTAGTTTTTCGTTTTCTTCCTATTTTTGTTTTCAAGTTTTGCTTAGCTATTCAGTCATTTCATGGCAATAAAAAATTAAAGTGTAGAATGTCTTCTTTGTGCCCATACTCAATACACATTGCAAAAATAATACGCTTTTGTGTAGTACCATTTTTGCTTATTGTGCAATTTTCGTTAGGGGCAACCCGCAAAACCTAGATTGCTGTCAAAGAGCATTTGTCAAATTTTCGCAATTCGCAATTGGTTTGGCGCCACTCCTAATACATTTTCTATGGATAAAGAAATATTTAATATGTGGTTTAATATTTATTTATACAATGCAAATTTTGCATTCCAAATTGAAAACGAAGGTGTACAGCAAATAGCGTAGAAACATGGTTTAGAATGTTCCATTTGAGTTTGTGAAAGTAATTCGATGCGAAATATGGCTATTAATATTACAAAAAATGTCATAATTTTGAATATAAAGTATTGTATATTTTGACTTTATAATTATAATTATATAATTGGCGTTTACTAATGGGTATTTTGTTTATAGGTGACTACTAAATATGCAGTTGAATGATATAAATGCGATTATCAATTTTTATAACTTTTTTGATATCAGCTGAATTGTAATATGAAAGGACAATGGTTTAACATGACTACATTCATAAACTTCTAAATATATTTGTCATAAAATATGTAAGTACTTAAGCATATATCTATGTTTTCTAACTATGCTAAGAGTAAAGCGTTAACATTAGGTGTTCTATTGCAAAATAATTGTACATTCCATAAGTTTATATATTTACTAACTGCCGGCATTCTCTCCTAAGTGAAGCATAGGGCCTCTTAAAGTTTTAGTTTCAGTCATCTGTATACTCAAACGTGCATTTGGCGCCTCCATATCCGCTGCGCCTGCTGCCGTGGCAGGAGATTACCCTTGTACCTGTTGCCCCGTGGAGACTTAGTTCTGTTCTGGCTTTAATTCGTGTTTGTTACGTGTATATATAAAGATTAGTCAGTGAGTAATGGGTTCAAAGACTATGGTGATCCGCTTTCTCAGTGATTTCTTGAAGAGTTGTTTGTCCTCACCAACTTCCTGTGACGCTATGTCTTTAAAAAGCCGTTCAGATTAGTTGGTCATGTTCCCTCCTCCTTTTTCAACCGGTCTTGGAACCGACTGCGGCAAAGTGGAGTTTATATTGACTTTTTAATATATTAATAATAGTTTTAAAGTAATAGGAAATAGATATTACACCTTTCTATTGTAGAAATAGAAGGGTTAAATAGAAGGTTAAATAGTTTTGTTTTAAATAAATTTTGATTTTATAATAACTCTGCACTCAGATTCATTGCCCTTTCAATACAGGTCAACGTTTCACAATTTTTTATTTAAATTTTTTGTAATTACATGCTGTATACTTGATATAACTATATTAATTATTAATCGCTTTAATTTGTTAATTATTTGCTGGGAATAAAAAATTTTTTAATATATATTTAATTTTTTCCATTATAATTTTAAGCAATAACAGTTTTATGCTCTTCAAATATTTGCTTTCACACTTGTACAATATAAAAAATATTCTGCAAACCAACTTCGTCTCCAATGTCCGGAATCTATGTGGCATAGTTTCTCATTTCATAGAACCATATAATGAGTAAATGTTGAAATTATATCATTATCAGATAAAATCGATCATGCTTCATTGTTACTCAGTCTGATATTAATTATTAGGGAAGTAAATAAAAGTATTCTAGAGAATGAACTATGGACTACATTTTTAGATTTTACAGATAAAATTGTTTTCTGATTTGATGCATGCGACATATTACTACCTATTTTCAAAATTCGGACCTATACAGATTGTCCTTGCATTTTATAGGTAGTCATAGCGAATTGAAGATTTATTGGAAATTAAAGTTGTTAGAATTCGAATGTCAAGTTTGCCGAAACAAAAGGTGTTCGTGTAAGTAGTCCCGCTGGGACCTGCTTGTGAAGTCTCTTTGGGGAGTGTTGAACCGCACTTAGTTGTTGTTGGCGACGAGTGGCTCCAGGACGCATACCTGAACGTTCGTGGAATCTATGAGGTCTAATCAAAATAGTTGCTTCGATTATTGTTTATATAGAAAACTATATATCAATACAAAATCAGTATAAACAGTTTATTGCATTAATAGTCTTTAAATAATATGGTAAATAAAGTCTATCTAAACAGTAGGTGGTATTACAATTAATTTCTAGTGAAATTTTTTTTTATAATACTCTATTGCCATATTGTTTCTATTCCATCTAATTCGTTTTTTCCTTTTAGTTGTTATCATTGCTGTGGAACTTAGTCGTGCACCAGTCGTTGATGAAACTAAACAACACTTACAATACCTTGTTCTAAGAGCAGTCAAGTTTACATCATGGAACCACTTACCAATACAAAGTAACGCTCTGAGCTTTAGTTCTACTTTCATAGTTTATCTGACAGAAGTGCTAATAAACTTGTTAGCAGCATTGCTTAATGGTAAATAATAATATAACCTAAGTTCAAATCGTGGTTAAGTCATGTTTGATAATAGTTGTCAACACGAAATAATATTATATATTATCTTTAGGTTAGGTTAGGTTAGGTTGGAGTGGCGGTCTTGTGTACCAAGAAAGCAGACGCCGGGACCTGCTTGTGGAGTCCCATTGGGGATGTTGAACGGTTCTTAGTCGTCGTTGATAACGAGTGGTTCCGGGACGTAGACCCGACCGTTCTTGGAACGTGTGTGATTTAGTTCGTTGAATGCACTTTCCACATAGTAAAATTTAACAAAAATCTGCTGCAATCCTTCGGGCAGTTCTTTTAAATCAAAGTTGAATCTCTATTTATTCATAAAAATGTTCCGGTATTTATACCGTTCAAAACTTATGTACTAACAATATGTAATATTTCTTATTTACTATCTGTAACCAATCAATGCATTGGTTATCCCCTTATTTTCACAAAATATTTATTAATATTTAGATATATAATCTAAATCTTTATTCTTTTTTCTACTTATAGCATTTCTTTACTTTCTTAATTCAATTTGTTTATAACTATATGAATACTCTAATGTCACCTTTGTCCATTGAAATTTGGGTTATTTTAGTGCTACGACCACATATGCTTTATCATTTGGCTTGCGTATTATGTTTTTATGTATTATTAAAAAACAATTTCTTTTCATAATCATTGGACTTTACTAAACTAGATGAATCTTAAGACTAACTTATATCTAACAATTTCACTTATATATATATATATATAGGAAGGAATCGAAGTATCAAATCCTGTTAAAAGAATTCGTTGTTTGTTTAGGACACACAACGATAATAAAATATGATAACATGCTGTCGGTCACTATTTGATAAGGCCAGGACCGATTATAAAATGACGTGTTTCGGAGTTTAAAACAATATGTATTATCTCATACTGTTTAGGTAGTTAAAATATAATAACATAACATATTGGTCACTATTTGATTAGGCCAAGACCGAATTTTAAACAAAATGTATTATCTCGTATTGTTTTTTTAGTTACAATATTTACACAATATGATATTCTATAAAAATACTATGTGTGTTACTGAGGATTGTTTGTTTAGCAAGAAACGATCTTCTGTTATTTTTATAGTTCTGATGTTTTATATTTGTTGATTATATCGTCTACTAGCGACATATCTCGCGCGTTATGTTAAAAATGCATATTTGTACCTGCATGACTCAAACATATTTAAAATGTAACACTATAAAAAGCCAAAGCGACAGATCGACAGAAGTGCATTCAATAAATAATGTCACAATTGCTTTGCCAATAATGCAATGATTTGTCATATTAAGCTTTGATGTAGTTCATGGGCACAACACCTTCCTAGTTTCTAGTTTTTATTTTTATAAAAAGGACACTGTTTTATATGTACAGTTCTTCTGTTTTAGATAATTAACAATTACTTATCTCGCAAGAAACCTTTGTAGATAAATTAGATCCATCCAGTTGTATGTATATAGTTTAACAAATCTTTTGTTCTTATTGATGAACGGTCTGACAGACTGCCAAGAAAGAACTTCTCCAATAATACATAGAAAATGTGTGACTCCTTGTTTCCTCTTCGTTCAAATTTTCGCAACTTTAACAAAAAGTGATAAACGGTCTAGCAGTTTGAACTCGGTCCCTGTAAACAAGTTCCCCTGACCTGGTCTTGTTATGCAAAGGTCAAATCGAAAGGTTTCCCTGACCTGGTCTTGTTATGCATATAGTTTATATAGTACTGTAATACATAAAATACATTATGCGTAATATACGTATATGTTGTCTTCAACTTTTTACAATCTTTGTTAGTGAAACATTTCTCAGAGATTAGCATGATGTATGTTGTATTTGTGGTTAAAGCATATCTAATTTTTTAAACTTCAGACAGTTTGGATTGCGGTCTTTAAATTCATGGTAACGATATACAATTTATTATGATTAGAATGGCACTTAGTGCTATCTTTATTTATTGAAATCAATAAACACATTTACATAGCACACTTATGCTTTAATGACATGGATGTAAATCTGAAGATTTGGTAATTGTAGAATGTTAATAATAATAATATTAATTATTGTAATAATTTTTTCATTTTTAATAATAAATTAATCATTTCTATAATTATAATATAATTATATAAATATATATATAATATTATAAATAATTCTAACTTTTTTTTATAGTAATGTTACCCAGCTGAAAAGGAGTGAAGGAAAAGAATGAAGCATCTACAAGAAAGTAGCCAGTGAATTAAAAACCAATAAATAATGTTTAAAATAATAAAGAGAGGATATCTGCTCTGCCACAGAAGAATGGCGTTGGAGTGAAAGAAGGGGGAGACCTGCACACACTTGGAGAAGACAAATTGATATGGAAATATCACACATGCGAAAAAGCTGGGGAGAGTTGAAGCTGTACTATCCAACAATCGTACTGAGTGGAAGATCTTTGTTGCGACCCTATGCTTCTCCTAGAAGTTAAAGGATTCTATATATGTATATATATCTTCTCTGCTATACATACTAGATTTAAAAGATTCTTTGTTTCTCAAAACCAAACAGAAACTTTTAATTTTATTGATGTATTGCTGGATCAATAAAGTAATAAGAAAACAGAAGAAAAAGAAATGAGCTGATAGGAAGAAAATATAAGAATATTATATATAGCAAGAATAAATTGATGCTAAAGCGGCCAATAAGGTAAAGAAAAAGTGGAAAACAAAATAGACAAAAGTAGTGAATAAGAAACTAAAATAAGCAAAGCAAAAGATGAATAGAAAGACGATTAACAAAATTACGAAACAATAACAATCAAAGATATTGTAAATATGAACAAATCTAGAAATAAGAAGAAAAAGCTGGAGGTGAATACCAAGATGAAACCGTTAATAAATGAGAATAAAAATAAAATTAAAATTGGAACAGATCAGACAATCTTTAATTGGGAAATATACATATGTGCGAATATAGTGTTCTAAAAAAGAAATTAATGCAAGTAGACTATTATGTCTATTGAGAAGTGGCTATGGGCTGTCTTTAGGTGCAACACCATTATTTAAGTTTTTCATTATCACTATTACCAGGCATTTAGCTTACCAGAATATAACCTATATATGTACATTCATAATTAATGCATTATGTCTGTAAGATAAGTTAAAAATTTCTTTGTAATTACTGAAATTATCTGAAAAACCGACTCGAAGTAAATTTCTGGCAACGGGTCTTTCTTCATTCGCTATCTTTTGGTTTAGTAAAAGGAATAAATATTTTTAAGCTTAAAAAATATATTGTTCATAAGCTTCACACATATAATGTATATTAAAATTATGAAAATGTTTGTAATTTGGGGTTGTCATTTAACGACCGCAAATGTCATATTTTTATACTTTAAGTCTAGCTTTTTTAATTTTGATGTATTTCAGTTTGTATACTATATTTGCTCCATAGCATCAGTTTTCTATCTGGTCATGGCTATTTTCAAAAATATCTATACAGAATGCAAAAAGCAGAGCAGCCCAACTGTATATATTGCGGATCAGTCGAGGACAATGCTGAGCATAATTTCTTCAACTGTGAAAGATGGCGTGGAGAAAGAACACTACTTGCAGGATATATAGGTCACTTTACAGTCGATAATATTGTAGAAAAAATGATAGAACGAGCAGAAAATTGGAACAAAATCATGCAATTCATCGGAAATGTTTTAAGGTAAAAAAAAAAAGATCTGGACGCAATCTAATCTTAAACGAAGAGCAGGAGTGAGAGCCGGAACACATACTCTGAGATTGAAAAAAGTAGACAAAATATTAATAGAAGATTAACTATCTGCAACAGTAGCGGGGCCTTGACACAGGGCACACCGATGGAAGTCTTAAATGACTGATAGGGACACTACCTCCAAGCAATACTAACGGGGTAGAACAAGGTCTCTAGGAATGAGGGGGAGTGCTTTAGCCCGTGCGAGTCAGGCACTCACCTTCCGGGGGATCGGATTGTGGTCAGTGCGTAGGTATTCCACTCCTTGCTGCAAAAAAAAAAAAAAAAAAAAATAGCATCAATGTGGATTTATATCGAACTTCGAAATAACATTCTTGAGGTTTCATTGCAAAATATTTAAATAAAAATGAAAATAAAATATAATTTCGGTATTACACCGCATAACTTTGCAAGTAATTGTCAATAAAAGACTTTGTCAAATGGCTTCCAATATACTTCTTTTTCCAGTGTCCGTTGAATTGTGTCTCTTGTCCCATAGATTGGTTCACAGCTGAGTGACAATTTCTAAAAACCAGATTGATGAGATGTTATTACTTTCTTTGCACTGATCATTGAAGTAAGCTTTTTGATTAGAAGTCTTATAAACACTTTTTACAAGACTGATAGAAGCTACTTTGTCCTATAAGAAGAAACATGGTAAGCAGATTTATCCGGTTTAAGAATCATAACGATCTCAGGAAAATATACTGGTTCCAATAAAACTGCAGTTATTAGATGAAGATTTCTTCTAAATGAAAACATTGTTAAGTGATATGCACAAAAGCGTCACTTAAGTATCATTTAATCATGTCCAGAGCGTTTTACTGCACTCTAAAACTGTGGTTTCTTATCTGAACTGAGTACAGTTGGAAATTATTCAGAATGTGTATCTGTTTCTCGACTTTAGTTTTTTGCCTATTCGTTCTATGTGATGTTCTATGTGATTTTTAGCGGGAGGTGCTGAGTTGTCGGTCTTTTAGATTTTTCGTGTATTTTAAGGAAGTATTTTTTTCGTTTGTGTGTTAAGTAAGTTGCTTTAGTTAGTCCAACAACGATGTAGTTGTCGTTTTTAGGCTATGATCGCCAGTGTTAAGCTGTATCCTATCCACTATCCAATTGTGTAAACGTCCTCAATTTGCCGGATAGTTCAAAGCACTCGCAGTCTATTAATTTATTTGTTAAATTTAGTGATAGTATATACGGAAGAATGATCAGAACTCAATTCTGCCCTATCTTCAGACACATTTACGAATAAAAAGAAGTTAATCAAATCCTGTTGTTTATCTGTATCTAATCATATGAAATTTCGCATTACCATTTTTTGTGTCCACAGAAATACAACACAGTAAACTGCTTTACAATTTTATATGGATCGGCAATAATTGAAAGCCGCATTACCTAATACCTACCTTACATTGTTATTGTACAAAAAATTCAAAATTAGTTCAGATTTGTTATTAATTAATTAGGTGCACTAGATTTTACGTTAGAGACCCAAATTTCAAAATTTTGTTGAAAAATGTGAAAGTGTAGCAAAAGCTTCTGTTAAACAGAGATTTTCATAAATGGACATCTCTTTTAACCGATCAATATTGCTAGTCTTTATTTTTCAGTTGTTATAAAGAGTACGTTATTCTGAGCAGACGAATCTACTAACTAGGAAGGATTTATTCCCCGGTGCAAACCTGCTTAACAGAGCTTAGAATGTTTTATTATATTCATGTAGATATTAAATATGTGACTTGAATATATGACTAGAATGCAAATTGTCAAAACTCCATTGGTTCATATTTTCTATGGAAAAATTTAAAATATTTTTTCCGAAATATGAGTATTTTTATTTTAAAAACTGAATGCTCTTTTAAACAGGAGCTCACAAAATAATTTCATCCAAATGAGAGATGTTGAAATCAATTTCTGTTAAAAGAATGAATGTTACTTTTTATTAATCCTCTTCTAATTTAGAAATTCTAAAAGGACATTAGACTTGATTTACATTCATCATATACAAAAGAAGATAAGAATAACAGTCAATTAATTTCTAAACTTCTGGAAAATAAAAAATTTTCAGGATTCGTCCATCTCTAACTTGTTTTTCTTACAAATTCAACTTAATAATTTAGCTCAAAACTTGAAGAAATTATTTCTGGTAAAATATACAAACACATATAGCTTAGTAATATGTATCTCGCCAAATTTATTAGGAATATATCGATATACTATGATGATGGTAAATAAGAAAAAAACAAATTTGTTGACTTTATTGCTTTATAAAAGCAAAATGCATGCAAAAATAAGATATCGATGACAATTCGTTATTTATCACAAATAAAATCGCAATGTTGTTGTCAATGGTTACATTATTAAGTCCACCAGTTGCCAGTTAATCACCTTAAATTGAACAGTTTTTATTATTATTAAATTAACTTAACTACTATGCAGTAGGTTAACCTCTGGGTCTCAAGCGTCTACGGTATATGATTCCATTGATTCCATGCCGAAAGAGAATTTCTCTTGGAAATAAACGTCTAGGGTACACTCTTCCGTTGTTTCCATGTTGACGATAAAGATTTCGAAATTCCAATAAAAAACGGACATACTGTTGAACTTGTGCTCTTCTCCTTCGTCGTGCATATTCCCTAGTCATATCTTTAACCTATCAAATAAGAGGAAACATTAGTTTAGGAATAGAATTATTAGCACCTTATTAAAATGGTTCTCACGACTAAGACCACTTTGACAAGTGTGAACGCGATCACTATAATTTTAACTGCGGACATGTCGTTCTTAAACAATTTTAATGCAAATATTAAAATTTTAGACAAAATTAGAATTTATAAAATACAATTTTATGAGAAAATTGAAAATTGAATTAAAAGTAAATGTAAGTTTCCGATCTTTGAAATATTTGAAATTTTTCTTTTGAAAAATCAAACTGCTTTGAAAATTTTTCTATGAAGAGATGATTTAAATTTTCACATGTTGTTAGGACGTGTGCGAGTTAGGCTAAGTTGCGTTCTAAATGAGGGAAATTTTAAGTTGTGCCGATAATGCCGTGATGTGTCGATACGTGTAGATAAATGGCTAAATGTGTGCAGTGCAAAAAATCCCAAAAAATCTCCCTTTCACAAAATTCCAAAAAATCCCAAAAAATCTCCCAAAATATCACTAAATCGATTTTAAATAAAAAAAGTTGCCAGGGTTGCCATTTTAATATTTTCATATGATGTTCGATAAATAAAAAAGCGAAAGAAAATGGTAATAAAAAATAATTTTATTAAAATGTTTTGTTTTATTTATATTAAAAAAAAATTAATTATCGTTATTAGAAGACTTTTAACCGATAAATGATCACTTCTTCCATGTATTTTTCATTATTGAATGAGCATTTGCAATAAATTTTGTAAATACTTGTATTTTTTAAAATTTTTATTACTTTTTTATAATATTACAAACATTTTTTGATAAAATTTTGTTATAGCGGCTGTTTTCAAAAACTAAGTGGATTTTTTTCATTGAGTTGGCAATATTGTTTTAGAAGTTTTTGGCGTTTACATAATTTTAAAAATACATTGAAATACATATTAGTTGTCAAAATGCAACTCAAACACTTTTTCAACTTTGTTGCTAAATGTGTACAGTACAAAAAATCCCAAGAAAAATCCCATTTAGGTCGTGTGCGAGTTAGGCTAAGTTGCGTTCTAAATGAGGGAAATTCTAAGTTGTGCCGATAATGTAGTGATGTGTCGGTACGTGTTGTTAAATGGCTAAATGTGTGCAGTGCAAAAAATCCCAAAAAATTTCCCATTTGGTTTAGCATCAACTTAGCCTAACTCGCACACGTCCTTAGTTTAGCATGAAATTAGAAAAACTCACACACACCCTAAATAACACAATTACTGAGTCTATAGTTGTTTATGAAAGTATTGCAAAAATATAACAATAGTTATAAAATAAAAACTGATAAATTTTATATAAATAGTTATAACAAAATTCTAAATATCATTTTTAATGATTTTATAATTATTGATTAAGGTATTGTAAAAATACAACAATAGTTTTGAGTTATCTAGATGCATAATAAAATTCTAAATAGAAAGGCATTATATGAATATAATAACTAGTTCACACACTATTTTTGATTTTTATGTGCAATACTCTTTTCACCATAGTATGGTAAAAACCACTAGGCACCTAAGCTTTGAATTTTACCAAAATTTGCACAAAATAGTAAAAAGCTTTTTGCTTGATAAAAATCTTGACTAATTGTCAATACCTGATAATCACTACTTGTCAAGTTCATAGAATAGGAGGGGTTAATATCATTATACAATATCATATATTATTTAACAAAAAATATCGATTTCAGTTGAATATCAATTGATATGTAAACAAAGAAAAGCTTTAATACAATTTTCTGTCATATGAAAGTCTTTCACATACACAAATCAACTTATGGCAGTGGAAACGACTAAAATTTAATTAACTAATGATTAACAGAAGTTGTTTTAGCTGCAGTGGGAACATGATATAAGGATTATCATTTTAAAATACAAAGGAAATTTTGAACGCTGGATATGCATATGTGTTCATTATATGTTAAACAAAAAGAGCAAATAAAAACAAAAACAATATCATGTTGCTAGAAAGATTCTAGGCTGATTACACAGTTATGAGCTAAGTCTCAAAACCGACTTAAGTTTTTCTAGCAAAATTGATCATTTAAGCATGACTTATAATAGTATGAAGACTTGACCGGTTTTTAGTTTCAACTGCATATTTTAGTTAAGCGGGTGTGGAATATATTAGAACTTATTGAGTAGTGCTTACTAGTCAGAGTGTACTCAGCGTGCACGCTGCGTCCATTTTGCCATGAGACACATTAGATCTTAAAGTACACACTAGCTAACGTGCCCGCAGCATAATACCTTGAGCGCCATCTGTCAATTAGTTTGTTTACAGCAGCTGTTAATGTGAGACTACCTCAATACCTCAAGTGCATTTAGCGATTTTTACTATGGAAAATTCTTGTTATACGCGATTTTTGACCAAACACGGCTGTTAACACCACTGTCATCGCTCAGGCAACATATTTGCCAGATCTGGATCTGTGCGACTTTTTCCTGTTGCCGAAACTCAAATTGCCACTTCGTGGTAAGCGTTTTGAGTCGATTGAATCGGTAAAAGAGAATTCGCTGAAGGAACTAAAAGCCATACCTTCACAGGCCTACGAAAAGTGTATGGAAGATTGGGTTAAGCGTTGGCATATGTGTATCGCTTCAGAAGGAGCATATTTTGAAGGAGATAAAATAAATTTGGAATAAAATTTAAATTTGTGTGTTTTATTTACAAAATCCGAGTACTTTTTGAACAGAAGGTATTGCGGTCTTGGCGAATTGGTTCTTTAATGTGCTAAATATATTGAAGAATGGATGGTGTATATACTACTCAAGGCGAAAAACCAGTATTTTCAGCAAATACATCGAACAGTTTGGTGTGTTTGCAGTATGCAGTTACTACGGCTTTCAAACTGTGTACTGTTTCGGAGTAATTTCATTGCAATTTATACCAAAGAAAAAACTGTAATTACTTCAGTTAAAAACTTTATTACAATTGTTTATGTGATTTGCAATTTTAAACAAATAAATTTCAATTACATGATATATCTATCATATCGATTGGTTATGAACACACTTATTTTCAATAATGTTTCTGTATGTCAATAAATATATCTATAATTAGTTAAATATTATTCAGTTATTTCATGTTATACATATATAAACTTTCACAACTCGAACTAAAACGAGTGCAACAAGGTTTTACAGAGCAAATTACATATAATTCTGCTTTTATAACTCGAACATCTATAACTCGAATTTCTCTATAACTCAAATAAAAATAATGTAGAATTTTTGTTTTAAGTATGAATCCATTTTGGTGTAAGGGGAAGTCCCCTTTTTCCAAACCAAATATTTAAAGTAAATAAATTAACGTCCAATGCTTCTCCTAAAGCTTATATTGACCTTGACAATAAAATTTTTACATCAAGAATTCCTACAGATAACGATATTATTGAGCATTACGGGTCTAAATTAGTGGATCCGCTACTAAGCCGAACGGAAAGTGATGATGAGGGTTCGGTGGATGAAATTGTTCATTAGCCTTCCAAGAATGAAGTAGAAGACTCATTCAAAATTCTGAATTTTTATTTACAAACGAATGATACTCCAACTGATGATCACTATAAGGCTTGGAATAAATTGGAATCTTCTTTTACTGAAAATTAGAAGAAGAAATGAAGATCGCAAACCTTAATTTCTTAATGTTTCACTTCACTATAATTACTGTGCTGTATTTGATATCATATGTAATTCTAATTTCTTTTAAAAATAAAATAAAATAAAATAAAATCTCTAACTTGAAGTCTCCATAAGTCGAACTTTTTCTTTGCAAAATGGTACTTCGGGTTATGGAAGTTTGACTGTATATAATATATGTTAATAAAATAATGAAAATGTTTTATAATTTTTTTCCAATATTTTTATTTAATAATAGTATTTTGAATAAATTTACCTTCAAAAAAATATGAAATAATTCTAAGAGTATTGTCAAAAATATAACAAACTAAGGATATGACATATTAAATGCATTATAGTGCATTCAAATATATATTTTTATTGATTTCTTAATTAATTAATGGATTTTCTGTAACTCTGTATTTTTAACAAATACTCTGAATGTTTTAACATGTGATTATAAATGAAATCCACATCGAAAACATTGTCCGGATTTCCACCGTATTGTGCTGGCAAACAATCGTATCCAACCATATTTCGCAATTTATCAAAATTTTTTCCATCGTGAGAGAAAATCTAAAAATAATAAAAAAAGTGTTTAAGTATATTGCAATATTGCTATCTGCTATCTGATTAAATGATAGTAAGCGAACGCTTTCGTAAACAGATATTTCTTCTAACGGTATTATGTTACCGGTCCCCATTCTAAATTTTTACACAAACCACTGTTTCTGAAACAAATACCATAGATCCCTTAACTTAAAAGATAATGGAGTTGACTTGACAGTTGTTTTTGTATAGTTTCCGGTATTTCTGGCAAAATTGCTAGCAAAGTCACATATGAATAGAATAAGTATCAGAGAACTGCACAAGTTCGTCCTTAAATATGGAGGGCAATCGCTAGACGGTGTTTCGAATTGGAAGTTTGCAAAAGAGCAGTAAAAATTAAAATAAAACCTACAAAAACGCGGCAAGCTTCGTTTCAAGCTGCGACGATCGAGCATGGCATCACATGGAGCTAAGACGTTCTTCTCAATCTTTAACGAAAAACGTTGCTTTCTTTTCTGAACAAATTCGACTTAGATTCAGATATGATATTATAAAATGTAGAGTGAAAAATAAATTGTGTGAGAAATATTAACGCTGTTCAACTAATCAATCAATCTTTGAGGTGCCAAAAAATGGAGAAATTACTGTTAAACGATTGTTCATAAAATAAAGAACATTTTTCTTAGAAAAAGTCATAATTTTTTGTAAAAAAATATGTTTTTCGAACGGACAGTTCAGCCAGATTCGTAATTAGGGGGGGCGCTGATACGTTGACAGAAACAGTTATATGTTTTAACGTGACTTCTTTTATTCCTCCCATCAGTTTCCATTCGCATTTAGACTGTCACGGTACTATTTTGTGATTAATAATAGAATATTACGATGAAAGGTATTTAATTTTTTCAAAGTATAATGCATTAAGATAGAAAAGGGGAGATCTATGGCGCATGAATGCCCCTGTTTTCGAGCTTTAAATTTATCTGAGCGTCTCATTTTATTCTTGATAAGATTACTAAGGTAATAAGACTTACCTTTTCTTTCAATTCCTTGCTCATGAAGGGCATAACAAGTGAAGAAGTTGCATTCATGATAAATCCTTTCTGTATGAGATGTACAACGCGTGTTGTCAGTGGTAAAATATTGTTTTTTTCATTGATGAGTCGTGCAATTGTTGGTGAAACTTTGCGCAAGAAATTTTTTGTAGTACTGCAACGAAATAATTAATTTTCAGGTTTGTGATATTATAAGAATATTACGAAAATAAAAAACATAAACCATCTGTTATATTAAAAATAATTTAAAACAAGTCCATTTGAAATAAAATATTACTATATTAATATTTATTATTACTATTGTTAAGGGATGTGGCACTGCGACCGTCGGGTCTATTGTGCCCCTTTTCAGGATTAGAGTAGGTCTCTAAGCCCTGTTGCGTCAATAAAAAGTAATATAGAACCTACTTTACAGAGTTTTATTGCCTCTTCCGTAAGAATATACATTCCCAGGAGCCTATTTCGTATTTGCATTAGCGCAGGGCATTCTAACAACACATGTGTGGCCGATTCCTTATACTCTTCACAGAATCTACAGTTTGCATCCGTAAGTGTACCCAGTCTTGTAAGATGGTGCCTTAGTCTACAGTGTTTCTGTGATGATTCTAAGTTTTTCTTTTGATAGGTTCATACAATCCTTATCTCTTAATATCGCTTGTTGTTATGGGTACCAATAAGTGATTTGAATTGTTTTAATCCTGGTATATTATCCCAGTAATCGTTTTTATTCTGGTTCTCTTTTATTTTTATGAGAGAAAGGAGTTTACTGTGTCTTAGTCCTTGACAATATTTAAGAAAAAAATTATTTACAATTTTGTAATTGGATACTTAGATGAGATTCTGTTAGATGAGCTTTTTTTTTTGAAGCACGATCAGAGATAACTAAATCATATAGAAGTCCAATATATAAAAAGCACATAGACAAAAACTTTTCGATTCTGGGTGCCTGAAACTGTCCAATCGTAAAAAAGCTTTCCATTGGTACAGGTTTTAAATAATTAACTATTTTGATATGTTGTTTCTAAAAAATATATGTTGATGCGTTCTCAAGAAAATGGAATGTTGTTTGAAACTTAAACTTTCCCTTTCATCCACTTTCAGTTGACATATAATATATCTGTTGATATATCTGTTTTATTCAACGAAGAGATAAAAGCTTCGTGTATCAGTTGAGTAGCTTTAAGCGGGTACTACACATCAGACTTGGTCGTACAACCAAGTCTGATGTGGTGAAATTCGAAATTTGTGCCAAGTCTGGTGTAGATCTAGTAGGTATATTTACAGGTCTGCCGAAAAGTCGGATAGAGATCAGAATATTTTGATTTTTTGTCAAAATTTCTCGTGTTTTTTCGTATACAATCGGATTTTTGTCGGCTTACATGCAAAATTTCATTCTATTTTAAGTGATGAAAGCGAAAACATTGTTTAAATGCATGCATGATTTTATTTTGTAGTATATTTGTTGCTTTTTTTGCTGGGACATGTTCAAAAAGTGTCGACTCTGTCTAATGCGTAATATGTAAGACGCGTTAAACAGAAAGTTTAAAAACAGTGCAGAATCTCTTCAATCTTCAGTTGAACAGCAAAACCAACAAGGTCGAAAGTGCTGCAATACTGCATCTACCCATGTTGTCAGCCTATCAGAGCTACAAAGTTCTGAGATTTTTAAATGCGTGTTTGCGAAATAATATAAATGTCCATTCCTACTAAGCACACATACCGTAAATAGAGCTTAATATTAATACAACCAGCGATGTCAACAAGGTATACGACAGTTGCTGAAATAGAAGCAAGAAAGTAAAGCTAGACACCATGTCTACGAAAATTCCTAGCAAGCAAAATCTATGTAAGGCTACTAGAAAGTAAGTCTTCATTAAATCAATCGATCAAATTACTCCTTTTAGAGGGTTTTAATGCTTAACAAGTCTAGGCTATTACTGTAATAAATGGTATCCTTATGTCTGTTGGTCCATTGTGGCGCCATAAACTAGAAACGTTTAAAACTATTTAGAGACTTTAATAAAGACATATCTGCATATTTATCGGTACGACATACCAAATAATGTTGTGCCTAACGGATTACAGGGTACAATATCAATCACAGGGCGCAAGCAATATTTGTGCAAATCCAGACACTAATAAACTGAAAATGTGGAGGTTATTGATTTTGTATGATTCCATCGATCAATGTTTATGATTAATATTTTCAACAGCTTTGAGATAATTGAAAATAATATTAAATTATGTATTAATTATATATATAATTTGTGCACACACACAAACAAGCAAAAAGTTTTAATCTGCGGAATTCATCTACAGTGTCTTCAAACAAATATTAATCTACCATGATTAATATTTAGAAAGCAGCACAATGTGTTCAGAGCCGACACTTTACTAAAAATTTACCATGATTGACATTATATATTGTAATATTCTATATTTAATTGTATCTTTATTAGTGGCTCAATTGAGGGCATGTTGTTCTTAAGGTTTTTTGGTAAGTGTGTATCACCATAAAATAAGTAATAGTTTTCTTTACTTACTCTTAATACCTATTTATGTTATAAGGTATTCTTTAGAATTATATTTAAGTATTAAAGTTAATTTTTTATGTAGAGTTACTCACCCTGCTAAATCATATATCACTGTGACTCCATATTTCTGGACCTAAATTTATATACACATTGGTTTTAAAATTCTGATAATTGAATTATAAATTGAATTATAATTTAAAACAAACTAATTTTATAATTAAAAATTACAAATTACCTGAGGCAACATCATCATCGACTCAAATATTAAATCATCCATTTGTACGATATCATGTATATAGTTTGGATATCTATCAAATGCATCAACTGTGAAGTACAGCAACATGTATATATTAATATATTGATATTTAGAACATGTAATTGTCTGCGACTCACCGGTTTTAAATATAACAACAGCTCTTCCAAATTTATCCGGTTTTGGCATAACAAATTTTGATAATGTCGAATAGAAATGATCCCGATAATATTCTACCGATCGTTGCGCTACCCAATCTGGGTGCTTATATTTAAAGTCATAATAATGGATAATGGCTTTGTAGGCACGCTCCACTTGCCATGTCGCGTAGTTAAGAAATTTACTAAGTAGGGCATCTTCAGTTCCAATCTTCAAGGTAACATTATCTATGTTAAATTAAAAAAAAAATATTTTTATTATACGAGTATAAAATAAAATACAATAAAATTTATAACATAATATGAGGGCGGCAGAATGGTTGAGATTCTGCGGTCCTTCATGGAGCTTTTTCGAACTTAAAATTAATGAATGGCTGCAAAGAGCCAATTGCTTTCAGACAAGCTTAAGATTTCATGCCGAAACGTATAAAGGCCAGAACTAGGGTGCTTCTAATGCTAAAGAGAAATGGTATCCGACTTGTCACAGGGTTTCTCACTGGATATTGCGCAGTAAATAAGCATCTAGCGAATCTAGGTTTTACTAGAGACGATAGCTGCAGTCTTTGTTGCGAATAATAGGAAACAGCAGAACACATTCTGTGTTACTGAAGGATATATGACTTTAAGACTACACTTCGAAAGAAAAACAAAAGTCAAAATTTAAAGCGTACTAGTCATGATCCGAAAAATTATGACACCGGGTAATATCTATTAATTATCTGGAGAGTAAAAACTTAGAGTATTGATATAAATGGTGTGTATAAAAAATGAAATAGCAAATATCAACCCTAAATAAATGAAAACAACTTATTTTTCTATTACATCTTCCAAGTGATGATCAAGTAAAAGAGAAATATATTGTAAGAATAGATATCAAAATCATTTTCTTGATCTTGGGCTTATTTTGTAAACATTTTATAATTATGTTAATAGTTTATAGTTTAAAAAAATGTTTAGATCCAACATTCTACGCCATTCTTTATTAGTCTAAGCAGCTTCAAAGTACAAAACTAGTGCACAGTCTTTATAGTTGAAGTAAAGATAATCCATGAGAAAGGTAATTTATAATTTCGTAAGATATAGCATAGTTTTAAAAAGCGATATCTTATATTTATTCTAACGGAAGACAAAACTGTTATCAAATATCTCGTACAGCTCCCTTGGTGTCTCGGATCTTAGATCACAGCGAAATTGCTGCAAATTATAGACCATAAATCACTGTAGTCCTGTTCTCCTTATAGGGCAGCATAGGGCTTCTTTGATTTATTAGACATACTATAACTGCATTAGTTGAGAGTACTTCATACTATGAAATCATCTGCTATATGTTTAAGTATTGTATATAGTTATACAATACTATACTTTCCAGGCAAAGGGTTAACTTTCTCAAAGGTTTTCATTTGTAAAAATTGACTAAACAAGACACTGTTGTCTTATAAAAGGTTCTTAGCTTTATTATTAGAGCTAAGTGACTAAGTGAATGAGAGGGACTTGACATACCTAACCATTAATACATGAGTATTCAACACATATGGAGACTGTAGGAGGTGTTTCTTTATCGAGTCTAGTCCGTTAGTCAATTACAATGTTTAGTTTTAGTTTGTAGTGTGAATGATCAGAATTATCAGATCAAAAAGTTTGTATAAATTTTAAGGAAATTAGGTTCATCGAATCATTTAAATATCAAATAAGTCATAGAAATATTTTCAGAAAAGTGGAAAAACATTAATGATTATGTGAGGCCTGGGCATCCTAACACATGCATCAATAATGAAAATGTGATATATTTCAAACAGATTATGTTTGGTAATAGTAGAGTTGTAATTAATGGGCCTACTTTTTCAGCAATAGGAAAATCATATGTGCTTCAAACTATATATAAGTTATATAATTTAGAAAAAATAAAATCATAAGATTCAAATTAACTTTAAATAATTAAAAACAATACAATTTGAATGTACTGATATTTTATCTAAATTAAAAATTTATCTAGAATTTTAGGAAACTGAACGACAGGCACTATTTATTTTATCATATCTTCTAATAAATAAAACTGTTGAAGAGTGGAACTTGTTTGGATGATATTCTGCATAAGGGCTGACACGATAACTCCGGATTCGTTAGATGACAAGGCACATCTGGAATACTTACTCTCTACTAATTTTCGTAATTGCAATATTTTTTCCTTTTGTTCTGAGGTGTAATTGAATTCTTCATCTAAAAAGGATTGACCCATTATTTTCTCGGTGAATTACACGGTGCAGCAAAAAATAAAATCTTATAAAATTGTTTTAAGTTCACAGTTAATTTTATTTATGGTGTTTTATTAATAGTTCACTTAATAATATTTTGTAGAAATAATAATTATTAATATTATTGGTAAATTATTGGTAAATCACACAAATTTCAATCAATTCGCAATATTCTCAAATATTTCACAACAGAGCTTCCGAACGCGACGCTTTAGTGTTTACTTTAAATGTAATGAATATGTTATTAAAAGACAATGAATTTTGTAATTTAAATTAAAAAATTAAAATTTTATTAATTTATTATTATTTTGTATTGTTTTGTTTCTTTTTTTTTAATTCCACTTGGTGGTCGCGCACTTGTTTGTTGTTCAGAGTGTGTGTCGCATTTTAAACGAAGACACAGCTTTTTGTACTCCCGAAGCTTGGCTCAAACGTAAAAACTATTCGGGACCCTATAGCCGGCATGACTGAATTTATTGTAACATTTCTCTTTATTTAATAAAACAGTATTTGACCACATATTATAAATAAATACGGAACGAAGAACTGCCTGTGTAAATGCCTACCTCAAACTCAAGTGGTGTTTGGTTTTTTTTATACAAAATGCAGTTCTGACAATCAAGAGAAAGGCGTACTACGCATAGATTTAGAATTATCTTTAGTGAGGAACATTTGAAGTTAGACGCGAAAATGATCAAAGACGATTAGGGGCCTGATTCATACTAAAATTTGTGCCAAGATAGTAAAGGTTAAGCGCGGAAATTGCTTGCTCTGGTTTCATCAACAACTGTTTTCAGAAATTTAGCTGATTCAAGAGTATTCACTGAGATATGCCTCGAATGGTGATATGCCACACTCATTGTGCATAAATTAGAACGTTTTCTGGTTTAGAAGATTTGTGCAGATACTCATTAGACCATATATAATCTGCGTTTTATTTTAAACTGATTTAACTAATAATATAGAACTATATTAACTATTAGTTAGTGTTAGAGTTGATTGGAAATTAGAAAAAATATATATAAGATTATATCTGTAATTAATGAGTGTTCAAATTTCTGAGTGACCACAATGAACTTCCCGCGCAACCTAGTTTGGCGCCTCCAACATTATACATATACCATATTAATATAATGCGAGTACATAGAGTTGACTGGTCTTGAGAACTATTTGGTATACTTCTGCAAGTGGCGTAAGATAGACTCCTTTGCGGCTCTCTATATCACGTCATTGGATCATTATGTTAAAATCTTATAATAACAAATATACCAAAGACAGATATATCAGGCTTTAGCTTGAATTTCTGATATAAGATATAAAAGCGAAAAAAATATTGAAATAGAAGAATGCAGTTACTCCATCTCGAATTTTTTAGTTTCCTTGATGAACGTAAGAAGAGCGAGTGAAAGCAAAATATATATTATTGCAATTTAAAAATACAAATTTTGTGTTAAGACATTATTAAATACAAATTGCTCTCTACCATTTGAAAGTCGGGCACTCACTTTTCGGAGCTCCAGATTGTTGTCAGCGCGTTACACTTCTACCTGTCACAAAAAAAAAAACAAAAGATGGTGCTATATATTTTGTATATATATATCTAATTTACTTTAAACTTAGATCTGAGTATGTTTATCGATTATATGTATTCCATCGGTTTATTTTTTAGAAGTCAGTTTTGATATAAATTAAATAACTTCATTAAAGAAAATGTATTACATACCCAAATTCGTGACTAAAATAAGTAGGAGTTTCTAAAAATAGGACTCGTAGTGATGGCATCTATTGTGTTGGTAAGGTTGATCCTTCATTGGTATACTCGCAATATACTCTATATGTCATGGAATTTTGATAAGGCAAATCTTTCCGCACTGAATCTATATTATCGGTTATAAATGCCAATAGATAGTCTCACATAAGTGAGCTATTTTTAAAAACTCTTGTTTATTTTGGAATGTTTGGTATGTACTAACATCATCCGCAGTTATCTTTGAAAGGAAACGATCTATAAGTTGTCTTCAATTGACTAATTTGTGTAGCAAAAATATTAAGCATAATTCTATGTAGATATATAATTACTAACTTAAATAGCTATATATATATTCATTATATAGTTACTGTTTCTAAATTTACTGAATTAGCATAAACACAATGAAAACATCTTATACATTTTCGGTAAGAGTTGCATTGATATGTGACAGGCCTATTTCAAATGACTTTACAGTTGTTTTATGTCTGTTAAGCAATTTTTTAATTACACTAACTCCACAATTTGTTGCTATATCAGCGGTACCGGTGTGACCCAGTACACACTTTGCTTATCTCAGTAACTGATAGATAAAGATAAAGATATTGTAGATAATTTGATTTAACTTGACTAATATCTTCTCAGTTGCAATGGATAATCCTTACTGTTTGGAAATCAGTACATTAGTACTGTAATATATAGCTTAAGAGTGTCCAAAAATATATTTCCTCATGTTTATATCTAAATTTTCAGTTATCTATGTGTTTATGGGCCGACTTGTCCCTATGTAACATTATTGAGTTTCAATCTTGCTTAACTGGGATTAGAGTTGATGTGTCAAATATTTATTTGTATGGTAGTCTGAGCTCTTAAATAATCGCTGCCTTGGTTTATTTGCAACAATTTTTTACTAAAGAGTGCTTAGTCTATTTTATTATTCAGTGTAGTACCGTCTCTACGGATTTTTCTTTAATCCCAAGATTCTACGTAAGTAATTCACTAGTCATTGTTTTAGCTTATAAGAAAGGACTGACTACAGACTAATCGGTCTGAAATCATGAGCTCTTGTGTAAATGATTTTTTCACTTTTGCATTAACATTATTTTTTTTACATTTTTCATGGTATATTGTTAGCGTATAAATGCGCTAAAGATCAATATTTTCAATCGAACTAAAAGTCTTTTCCAGGAGCATCCATTGAAAATAGATAGCTAGTATCTATTATCTATCTACTACTACTAGTATCTAATAGTGAAGTGGCTTTTTTTGTGAAGTCTTGTTTTTGGAGATCTCTTATTTGATACCAATAAATGGTGATTTCTTGAAAATCACCAGGTTCTCACGAGTTAATTCCGGTTTTTGTTAAGACACGATTTTTAAAATATTATAAAGAACACAAATCGCATTCAAATGACAAAATGTTTCACATAAGGTAGTGGACCTAAATGTCACATTTTCAATATCAGTCAACACCTAACAATATTAAGGGTTGTCAATACACACAATATAATTAGTTATCATGTGTTCATAATTTATTTTTAAAAGTTAATATACAAAATACCTTTATAGCACCTAACATATAATCCTATTCACTGTATGTAAAAATAATGGCAAGAAAATCAATATAATTTTATAATAATGTTATATCAAATGGTTGTTAATTCATTAATCACAAGTGCTTGACAAATTACATGTACATTAAAATGCTTAAGTTCTCAGATATATAATAATTCTCGTGGCAGTATATATTGACATAGAGACAGTGGCGTAACTACAGGGAAGCAACTGGAAGCAACGCTTTCGGGCCCCCGAATTTAGGGGGCCCCACTATAAATTTTTGTATTCATTGTATTTCTTTTTAATAAATTCTCAAAAGTGGGACGAAACGTTTTTTTTTGGAATAACATCATATTGCATTTTATAAAAGATACGTAAATTTTAAATTTAAAGTACATAATATGTACATATGTACTTCAAATAAAATATTAAACCTATTTATGAAATAAAAAAGTTTTTCTAAGAAAAATATGTGTCTTGATCGAGAGTTTATATGGAAGCTATATCTAAATTTAAACCCATTTGAAAATAATTTTGTACGTTGTCTTTTGCAAATATCAGTACTGTATACACCAAATTCCATTTGAATACCTTTATTAAAAACGGAGAAACCTCATATCCGATTGTTAAGTTTATATCACAGCTACAAGAAATAAACGTCCAATTTCAATCAAATCAAAAGATTAACAGGGTGCGCTCCCGAAAAGTATGTGTATAAAGTTTCATTCGAAGAGTTCAAAAGCTGAGAGAGTAGTTTGAACTGTAAAAGTATTCTGATATATACTTAATGGTATTTCCGAAGTTTCCTTTAATGCGTTACAAAAATCTTGATAAACCTTATATACCCTTTTTAAATTTTTTCGTGTAAAGAGTATAAAAAGAGGGGCCCCTTAGTATGTTGGTAGGGGCCCCTTAGTTAGAATTTGCTTACAGGCCTAAAAAATGTAGCTACGCCACTGCATAGAGATATGAACTTCCACGTTTAGGCGTATGGATTCGCTTAAATTCTATACGTAAGCTAAACGTCAATTGTTTTTATTTAAGTAAACATAATAATTACTTTTTATTATTTAATTAATACTGTCTTTCGTCTCCCCAAATTGCTTTATAGTCATAAAATACACATGCTATTTTTCGAAAAAGCAGTGGCGTGACTGTTTTATGAAATGTTAGTTCATTTATAAAATTCATATTATTTTTATACATGTATGTATGTTTGTATGTATGGTTATATCTTAATTTTTATGAGTATGAATATACCATTTAAGCACGTATTAGAAATATAAGAAAAGTCTATTGGGCTTGGAGATATCGGAGACACTAAACAGTATACAGAATATCTTTGAGTTATTTGAAGTAATTACATGAAATATACGGGAAATATTATAAGGGCAGGTGTACATTTTCAGTGCTCATCCAGATCTGAAGAGCACAGACAGATTTAATCACTAAAAGCGTTTAGTGAAAAAAACCTTAATCATCTCAAAAACTGCTATGGTTGTTCCAAAGCCTTATCTAAAAGTGCTTGTTCTTATATTAAGAGTGGTCGTAATGGAACATCACACATATAGATATGTTGTAATTGAATTGAATTTATGTACATTATAACATATAATTAAAAAATATGAAAATTTTTTATGATATCTAGATAACATCAATTTCTAAAAACGACTAAGAGGAAGACAAAGAAAGTGAAAGTTTAGTTAAAATAGTAAAAATTGTTATCAATTGAAGAGACAATAACTACACTAAGACGATG